ACTGTTGGACTGAAACCTGTCAAGGATACTGCGCCCTGTACGGCCCAGGCGGTGAGTTGAACCTGTGGTGTGGCGCTGCTGTATCAAGCTCCAGTGATCTAATCAAATGCATCAGCAGCCAGCAGCCTTTCTGCTTGTAGGAGGTACACTTCATTTATGTTCGTCTACTTTGAGAACCAAGGTTTTAATTTATTTTTTTGATCGATTACTAGTCTAAACAAGAGGCCTCAATAGGTATCAGGAGCTATCCCGAGTATTAAGTATCTGGCTGCGGCGAATAGGATCTTGCATGCCACGCTTCCGACACGGCCGCAGGCTGATTTAAGCACGCCAGCTTAACAACATCTTCAATTCCCCCAACACCCCAAAATGTGAATCCTTGGCTCACAGTCAACCTAACAGACGGTTCATCGCCGTGTTTCTCGTCAACAAGCCCCACTTCGCCGGTGTAGAAGTGAGCCGTCGTAGACCTCCGTGGGACGCCAACCACGCAGTGCCGCCCGGGGTGTCGTGGGACAGAACATGTCCGCACGTAACGGGTGAGGGTAAATAAAAAGGCTTTTTTTACAACAACATGACTAGCAGTGAGCGCCCGATGCCAGTAACGACGCACCTCGTCCCGTATCAGCACAAGAAGTAGCCAGGCCTCTGCTCAAACTTGAAAGCGCCGTGTGATGTCCGGCATCCTGCACTTTAATTGTAATTTCGGAGTGGCTGTCATTGGAATCAAAGGTCCAGGTCTCTTCGAAATCTGCGCTGGAGACAGCGTCCTTGGCAGTCGTGGTGTCCCATGAGTGGAAGGTACCGTAGTGGCATTCAACGTACAAGTCCGACTTGTTGAACAGACCAGTGTGGCCCTGGAACTCAGCAGCAGAATTACAGTACCGTAACAGAAACCTTCATTCTGAATTGAGCTTTATGACGTGACGCTCCATGTTGCGTTACCGGCTCGTCTACATCGATTTGTTCCTCTGGCAGCTCGCAGGGGAACGACAGCCGGCATTGGAGAGGACGTGTTGAAGGATTGCATTCTGGCAGCGGCTCTTGATGATGGCTGGACGAAGGCTTTCCTTATGGCGCTGAAATCCTGGCGGAGGTCAGTTATCGAGGCGTTACAGAAGTTGTCGCCGTTAAGCGAGCGTGGACCCCCCCCTGTGTTGGCAGCCATGTTATGGCCTGCGGAGCGGTCCGACGCGGTTCGGAGTCGTTCCGGTAATGGTAATGACGGTGCGAGGAGATGTGGCCGTAGCGGCCACCAGAAGAAAGCTTGTCCGAGCCAGGACGACAAGTGTTTCAATTGAGGTCGGAAAGGTCACTGGAGCATTATATGTGATGGGACCTGTCTGACTGACCAGGACGCTGCTATGAGGGCGTTCGTGGACTGTCAGAAGGCAAGGGTCGCGTTGTCACCGGTGACTGAGGAGATAGCTACGGTGATCGGTACGGATCGCCTGCCGGTGACGGAAACCGCGAAGGTTGAGATTAATGGAGGTAGTGTGTCTCGTCATGCATGATCAACGCCAACCTCTTGGGGGCGGGAGAGATGGTGCATTTCCTAGCGCCAGGGGGAGTTGGGGCCAAGGCGTTGATCCTGGCGGCTAAGCGTGGAGAAGTGGACAGACAGAGGCTAGCCGGAAAGTATAACGAAAGCCCGAAGCTAGAGGAAGCTGTAGAACGCAACGTCCCTTTGAGGAAGAGGCGGATCACATGGTGGCACACTACGCACGAAGCTGTGGAGCTTGCTGGTGGGCTATAGAGACACGCGGGGGTCGCCGAAGGTGGCGCAGGCTCAGCACGGGGCAGGGAGAGGGCTGCCCTACAAGGCACGGACGAGGAGGTGCTGGACAATAGCACGCCCTGACGATATTGTTGCAGCGATGGACGACGAAGCCGGGATGCTAGAAAAGATCTTACGGTTGTACAGGGCGAACTAATTTTACTTGAAACTTCAGAGTGAATGGTTTTAGTCTGGGAGGTGAGGTACGTGCTTGCCGATGACGTGCCCCAGGTGTCAGGCGAAGAAGATCGATGCTGTCAAGAACGCTGAGGCCCCTGGCGCCTGGACTGCACACTGCCGAGCTCGCTCTTGCTAGCTCTTCTTGTGTCTGTCAGATTGCATACTCCAGGGGTACTTCCTGACCGTCTTGCTGTGCGGACTTCCTGACCGTCTTGCTGTGCGGACTTCCTGACCGTCTTGCTGTGCGGACTTCCTGACCGTCTTGCTGTGCGGACTTTCCTGACCGTCTTGCTGTGCGGACTTCCTGACCGTCTTGCTGCGCGGACTTCCTGACCGTCTTGCTGTGCGGACTTCCTGACCGTGGCGCATATAAAGCTACGGTGTTCGCTACCGCCTGCTTGATCCATTCGTACAGGACGTTCTTCTCAGGAGCTCACACATCCTTGCTGTGTGTTCCGCGTACTTAGGTATGAAACTACGCGAGTATGCCACCAGGCTCAGGAAGCTCTGGCGTTCAGCCTTGTTCGTCGACGGCGCAGCCTCTGTTATACGCTTTACGGTCTTGTTGCGTACCTTAATTGCGTACCTTAATTCCGTCTTGTTGCGCACCTTAATTCCGTCTCGACCTACCTGGTAACCCAGATAGTCGACGTGGGTGATATCTTGATCCCGAACGGTAGCATACGGAATTCAAATAGACCGCTCGGAGTAATGGCAGTGAACGAACCACTTACTCTCCTCCTCGAGCGGGATGTTCCAGAAATCCTTATCCACACCCAGCGCTATGCAATAATTCCTACCCGCGCACGTCCTCAGGTTCGTGAATAGTCCAAATATCGGGTACGCATCCGAGACCATCTTCTTTTCAGCTGGCGATAGTCAAGAACAACTCGCCAGTCTTCCTGGGCACCACACGCGGAGACGCCGCCCACTCACTCTTACTGGGCTAGCACCAGCTGTGCCTCGATCTGTCGGCTTAGGTCTTCCTTCTGGCTGGGTTCGTAGTTCTCGCTTTGAACGGTTTGCCCGTGACCTCCAACTTCACCTTGTAACGAAGGTGGCCAACCCGTGGCCATGCCTGCTCGTACTTCGATACCAGCCCCCACAATAACTCACGATCCTCTTCACTCAGGTGCTTCGTACCTCGTACGAAAACCTCTCGCTGGTAAACACCCGTTCGTTTCGCCTCTCGCCTCGGCCTTCTGGCCCACGACTACTGGGACGATCTCCTGTACCTTTCTCTAAGCTACGCGGTCCTCGTAGTCCACGTGGTAAACACCCGTTCGTTTCGCCTCTCTCCGCTCCTTGGCCCGTCGGGACTGTCGCTACTTCTTCTGCTCCTGTGATGATCGCTCCGGCGGCTGCGTATTTCTGCGCTCGGTGCTTCGGTGCAACCTCCAAGGCATACCCGCCCTTAGGGTTCGGCCGGAAGTAGCCAACATCCCCAACACCATACCCATCCCTAATTGCAATCGCTTGGCACACAGCGGCCAGACGACTCTTCACCCCACACTTCCTGCAGTACACGCCTCGGTAGGGACAATCCTCGCGGAGGTGCTCGACGCCGCACTACGAGCACGACTTGAACAGCTCGGTACTGTCTGGCCCTTGCGTCCATCGCCGTCGTACTGTAAATCGGCCCTAGCATACTTTCTCTGAAGCCATGTCGTCCTCTCAAGGAAGCATTGGCTGCTTCCGTACTTGCCCACAACTACATTCCGCATCCGGTAATGGGATTGTTACCTGTAATGGCCCTGATTGGGACCGAGGCCAGGTACTCCAAGCAAGTTCCGCTCGTGTACCAAGAACAGGTCCGACTAGACACGCAACGAGAACTACGGTTCTCAACCGCGCTGCAACCCGCCAGCGAAGTATTTCGTCGAGAGCCAGATCCGTCCTTTGGGTGGAGCCAGATCCACCCAAAGGACGGTCAATAACTGACTTCCCAGTGGGGTAGTGTTATACAAGCTGAATGAGAAGTCCCCGAAGAGCCATCAAGGAGCGATGGGGCCGTTTATCTAGCGACCTGTATGGTCAGTGCCGTGCGTGGTATCCGCCCACGAACATGGGAGTTTGAAAGTGAATCCGGTAGGGACGCCTGATGCCCCCACGGCTGGCGTAAGCTATAGGGATGCTACCCCGTGGTTGTACACTGAGAACAGCCAGGCCGCCGCCATTACTTTATTGCGATAAGGTAACGCTTCGGGGGTCATTGTGGAGGGAGACATGAGTCCCCGCAAGAGACAACGTCCGCCAGGTCACCCTGTGCAGGCAATCGAAACTCTTCCGGGCACGTGAAGTGTCGCGGTGCGTCTCCAAGGATTTAGATTGTAACCAGGCCTCTGGTCAAACTTGAAAGTGGCTTCCCCCAGAGTCTCATCAAGCTTCAGATGTCTGGCATCGCGCACTTTAAGTGCAATTTCGGAGTGGCTGTCATTGGAATCAAAGGTCCAGGTCTCTTCAAAATCTGCGCTGGAGCCAGCGTCCTTGGCGGTCTTGGTGTGCCAGGAGTGGAACATACCATAGCGGCATTCAACGTACAAGTCCGACTTGTTGAACAGACCAGTGTGGCCCTGGAAACCAGCAGCAGAATGTACCGTAACAGAAACCTTCATTTTGAATTAAACTTTATGACGTACAATCGATTCGGCAAGTAGACAGAACAATCCGGCCGTGCACAATTCGCGATCTTTGAGCTTTTTGTCGGATCCACACCAAGCAGGATTAAGGCTGCTAACTAGACTTGTGGCTTTTTAAGGATGCTGCCACGGATAATGCCCTTCCCTTCGGCTTCTGTGCCCAGCCATTAAGACGCGTACAACCAGCTACCGACTTACCCTGTCGCACTGTCTTCGTGGCTACCTCACCGGCAGACATTGCGGTCCGACAGTTTGGACATCCACTCCCCGCGCACTCCCTGTTTGACGTCGTCGTCAACTGAGTCTTTGAGAGTCTTCGTCATTCTCTTCGTCATCAGTTTGGCGGCCGGCGGCACAACTTCACGCTGGATTCACCGACACTCGCAAACACCTGGGGCGCGCCACCCCGTCGGGGACCCGCTGCGCGGCGGCAAGCAGTAGACTTGGCTCCGTCGCAGCATGATACTTGCCCGGGGGGGCTGAAGCCGCTTCTCGGACAGGCTTCTTGCCCGGGGGGGCTGAAGCCGCTTCTCGGACAGGCTTCTTGCCCGTCCTCCCGACTCGGGTGGGCCCCGACTCGCTCGTTGCGCCTCGGGGCGTGTGTTGGTGCTCGCAGCTCTGCTGGTCGGGACCCAATTTCGTCTAACGACATGTCCTCACTGGTGCGGGGCAGGCAGGATCCTCGTGCCGTGTCGACTCTCATGCTTCACTCTAAGGATGCCACGCCCAATCTCAATCTCTCTGTATAGCGCTCTCTTGCTAGACTGACTTTGGCCTCGATATCTACGAGAGAATTTAAAAGGTGTGTCTGGGCCTTTAGAGAAGAGGATCCTCGTTTGGTGCCCTGCGCGATTTTGTGTAGAGCGGCCTCCACCCTATTCATGAGTGTCAGGATGGGCTGTCGGCAGCTAGCTCGCTCGCTCGCTCGTCTTCCGCGTCGCCCGTGGTGGTTTCCGCTGACGCTTTCTTCGAAGGCTCGGCATCCTTTAGTCGCTTGCTGTCGCATCGGGTACGTTCGGCCCGATTGGCTGTGTCCAGCATGTCATCTCCAGGAGTCTTGCTAGCACGTGGGGCACACGCTTTTCCAGCGACCCAGTTGATCATCCTTATTCGGTGCGGGGAGAGTACGCCATAAACGTTGCCTTCTGGTTGCTCTTTAGCACTCTTTCCTGTTCTGATGACAGGCAATACCGGCGTCTCCTTGCCATTCGCAGTGGCGTCTCCTTACCATTCGCAGTGGCGTCTCCTTGCCAGAGGCTCGCTGCAGTGCCCACGTTCACGAACCATGTCCTCCACTGTGGAGAGTCCGTCAAGCCCAGCGGCGGGCGAGTCGAGCGTCTGACGCCAAGCGGTGGCGTCATACGGCTCCGGCACTAAGATCGAAGACTTCATCTCCGACGTTGCCACAAGCATTTTCCTTGCTAGGAACCACGTAGCTAGTGCGTAGAACCACCTAGCCAATGCCTATGCCGCCATTGTCCTCCCGGGAGACTTCTGCCAACTCCGAGAGCTCCTCAACCAACGCGCTGTGTGTCCGCACACGCGTCATATTGCTGTTCCCTTACGGCTCGAGCGGCTGGAACAAGACCAGCAAGCGTGTGGCCAGTCTGTTCTACTGGGTTAGCCGGGGAGGCAGCCCAGACGGTGCGCGACGGGAAGCCACCTCGACGAAGCCGTTGGGCTGGACTTGGTGTCGCACCGGGCTACTCCAAGGCTGAAGTTACTGAGTGCTGGTGGTTGTGTACCATGCCACACGGTACCTGGGGGTTACTGGCCGCACAACAGACTGTCGAGGGGTTCTATTGGGTGGAGCCGTTCGGGATTCCGCGCGTCGTACGCACGGACAACGGCACGAGCTTCAGAGAAGCGTCCCACACGGTCGTGACCAAATGGTTTGGGTTTAAGCACCTGACGACAGCGACGTGCTGGCCGTGGGGGAACGGCGTCAACAAAGCCTCTCAACCAGCGATACGAGCGGGCATTGCTGGCAGGAGGGGCAGCGGAATCTCCCTTACATGCTGGCAGCCATTGTGCGGACTCAGAACACGACGCCACACGTTAGCTCGGGGGTGACCCCGTACGAGGCGCTGTACGGGCGTCAGCCGTTGTTCGCGCACTTCTAGGACGTAAGAGGGACGTCAGACGAGGGGACGCGGCAGCGCCACCGCGCGGCTCGCGCGCCTACATGGGCCCCGACACGGTAGTCATTTCTTATGCGGATTACGCAGGTTGAACGGACACAGGTCACCGCCCAGAGATGTGACGCGCCGGGCAGATCTGTACATGCGCACAAAGATCAGGTTAGGAGATTCGTGGTAAGTAAGTACCCACTACGTCAGTGGTCTGTGGAGGCCTAGCAGGGAGCAAGAGGCTCATGGAGTCACGCTGCATGAGGCAGCAGGAGGAAACTACGCCAGAGGAGCGGTGGCGAGCTTTTACCGATCGTTGCCTCGCGGCCTCGATGATAACGACTACCCCGGCCGATGGTCACGACCACCCGGTCTCCGATGGTCACGACCACCCCGGACTCGATGGCTACGATCATCCCGGCCCCGATGGCTACGATCATCCCGGCCCCGATGTCACGACAACCGCGGCCGAAGAGCTTAACGGCATCTTCAATTGCCATCCCAACACCCGAAAGTGTGAACCCACCGCTTATTAGAGGGTCATAAGTTTTCTGCCCAAAAACGTGCAATCTCGTCCCTGTATTCATTCATCGTTTTATGGGCGTGATTTGAGCACTCAAATTTACAAAACTTTGGGGAGTAGCCTGGTGTTTGAAATAAAGAGTAATTCCCTTTCATTTCCTCAGCAGTGGTAAAGAAGTCAGTAACATAGCCCCAGACCACGTCCTTCCCGGACGGGTCCACCGCCTCGGCACTGAATCGACCTTCGACGCATCGACAGCCGTCCTTGGGTAACTGACAGGCGTTGTAAGTATCGGAACACTTTTTGTCGGGGTAATGTGCATCAAACGATAGAGCTAGTACGTCGTGTAACTTTCTCTGCCAGATGCCGGATGAGTCGGCATTTACCCACATGCCGGCGGCGCGTGCGCGGACCAGTTTATGTAGGTACACCGCGTCTAGGTCTGCGTTGTTTGTGATGAGGCAACGGGAGGGCTTCAGGTGATGGATGACCGCCTCCCAGACTCTCGGTAAGTCGCAGTTGAACGGATAATTGAAGTAGTGACAACTCAGGTCCTCGCTGCGGCCGTCAACGCAAACCACCTTACCGCCTAAGTCACATCTGGACCAGTCCAACGTCTTCCAGGCATCCGCAGTGGCGTCCACCATTGAAGCGTTCTGTTGTTATCGTA